CAATCTTTTTATCTCGCATTCATCAAGACTGGGATGCAAGAAACCACACTTGAAAGGGAACACCAAATTATTTTGCATGATAAGAGGGTGCTGATTGGTTGGACCATTGTTGGCATGCAGATGCAGCTGTATCTGTTAACTGTCAATCTTTGCTAGCTGATTTACCTCAGAACAGGCAGGTAGACTCTGATTGTTCAAGCACTGCCAGGAGGAATGCAACAAGGGTTGGCAGTTATCATAACCGTTTCTCAATGAAACTCTTTTAGCCTACGCAGGTCAGGGAACTGTGTCTGAATATATGTAGTACTGTCTCGTACTGAAAGCCTGCTTGATGACACTGAATTGATTTCTGGATAACCCTGTAAGAGGAGAGTCTCAACAATTTAAGCAAGAAGTGAATCTAGCCATTTCATGCTGTTATTTTGTAGTAAACGCACTAGTCATATTCTTCACTAACAAGATGCTGCCATAAATCAAAAAGACATTCTGCCATTATACAGTGAGTACCATTGCATATACCTTTCAGTGCCAATGAGACCCCAGGTCGGTAAGCTGTATGTCTGAACAACTGACAGATTGTATCAAACAACATACCCTTCTGACTGTCCACAACAGGAAATGTGCTAACTGTGCTGAACCACCTTGTGTTTGATAACTAGGTGTGATTTAAATAATCCAAAGTTTGGGTGGAAATGCTACAACTTTAGAGCTTTGGCAGTTGAAAAAATGGCCACCAATGCTAAAACAATTAAAATTGGGAATGCACAAGGTGCCAGAATTTGAAGAATACAGAGATCTTAAAGGCTTGTTGGGCTGGAGTAGGTTGCAGGAAATGGGAAAGAGAAGACCATGAACTTGGAAACAATGTTGAGAATCTTTAAATTCATGTATTGCTTAGTTGGGACCCATTGTAAGCTAGTGAAAACAGTGGTGATGGGTGAATTGAACTTTTGTGTGAATTGGGATAGGACAGATGAGCACAGATTTATTTGGCATGCAAAATGAGAGGCCAGCCTGGAAAGCACTAAAACAGTCATGCCTAGACGTGACACAAGGGTTTCAGCAGCAAATTGCGTAAGGCAGGTTAGAAGTCAACAGTATTACAGAGTTGGAATTGCGCAGTCTTGGCAATGGAGTTGATTTGTAGTCACAAACACAATACCTTACGGTTGAAAATGGTCAGATTCAGCTTCAGTTGACCAGGTGAGGGTTGGAAATGGTGGTCAAGGAGCAAGGTTTTTGGTTAGTATGAAATTCACATGACAGTGAATTAAAGAGGGTAAAAGCAGATGAAAATGATCTTCCCAGCAATTAATTAGAAAGAATTTCTGCTATCTAGTTCTGGCTGTTGAACTCATGGTGTGGCAGATCAGACATCAGACAAATAGGGAAGAAAATCTTGGCTGTGAATATCAGTTACATTTATCAGCAAAATATCACCTGTTTTATTATGTATATTACCAACTATGGAACTTGACTGCAGTTGGCTCCTCTAATTACCTGAGCTCCTATGCCCCCTTTCCCCATTCCCCATTCCCCATTCCAGCACTTAGCAGAGCACATCTGATGTTCAAGGCATCCCTGTTCACATTGTAGCTTCCTTCTGAACAACTGAAATGTTTTCAGATGTGGCTGTTTTTTTTTTGTTTTTATTTCAAAGCAGAAACAATGACCTTCCAAAGCTCCGCCCACATGACAGTGAATTAAAGAGGGTAAAAGCAGATGAAAATGATGGAGAAGGAAAAACGGTTGGGGGGGTTAAATAAATTGGGAAAGTCAGAAGTGCAAAAGCAGACAAGAAATATATTCAAAAAAACTTTTTAAAAAATTATGGGTGAAGTGCTGGAATGATAGCACATTAATGTGTCTCTGATTGGCCTCTTCTAAAAATATAACTCAATTTCATTTGAAGAAACCTTGCAATGATGAAAACTGCTGTATCTCAAGCAAAATAAAGACATAGCCTAAAGACAAAAACCCAGGCATAAGACCGATATGGTCCCATTACTTGCTTACAACAGTGGCTCACTGGAGACTTATCTCTTGTTTTTAAAAGCTATTGATCTTCAAAATTCGTGAGCAAATGACCAATCAGAATGTAACCTTGCTTTGAACGAAACACATAAAGAGCATTAAAAAATGAAGTGCAGCTGCCTGGCAGCTGAGACCTGTTAACTCACTATAGTAATCTAGTTTTCATACAGACGCTCACAGGGAAGCTGGATTTTAATTACCCTCAACAGTATGGTTGCGGTGAGAGAGAATATGAACTGATGGGGATAACAGATCTGAGTTTACTTATTACTGCAAGTGATTTTGATCTTTCTCTTGGACACCAAGGTTGTATTCAAGAGGAGATACAAGTTTGTAAGTGCAATTTGGGGAGAAATATAATCAGTGGTGTCTTAACAGTGAAAAAAATCTATAATCCAGTCAAAAGTTATGAAGCATTTAAACAAAGTGAAGACTTCAGACTCTTTACAGAAGCTATAGTGAAAAAGAAAGAATTTAACCTTAAGATTTCATGGGTAGGGTAAATAGTCAAAATTTTGTTTACTGCAAGAAAATGGATTGTGACAATATTTTATCATAAATATATTCAGGTCCCAGTGGAAGCCTATAAGAGGGACCCAGATGACAGCCATTATACATTAAATGGTCAGATTCTTTTGTATGGGTAGTCTTTTGATTTCGACATGTCTCCCTAATCCTGTTTAGACACAATTCCTGGAGATGATAGCTACCCAAAGTTCAATTAATTGTAGATGATGGTTTAACCTTGTGCATTCTTGAAAAATAGTTTGTGTTGGCGGGGGTGGGGAGGCAACAGATGATAGAGGGAGGTTATATTATCCCACAATGCAGGATTATTACCCACTACTCTTCATGATGCATGATATCAAATTTAGAGTTATTGCTTTGTGCAAGTGGTTGGTAATGAATTTCTAATATACTGAACTTCTTCACAGTAAGTCCTTTACAGATGACAGGAAATATACTCACTGTGACTGCACAATAATTTCCTCCTTCAACTTCATACAAAAGCTAGAGATAATAATTAACAGATATCGCAAGAGAAAAAAAGAACATGCTGTCCCTGTGCAAAATCCTCAAAGACCCCAGTGAGGAATACGATCTTCACATGTATGAATCTTAAGGGACAGGCATTCTATCTTGCAAAGAAGAGAAGAGTCTGACAACAAGCATGGGAGACAATGAGAAAATGAGGCTCTGATATGTAGGATTATCTGCAACAAATGAGATTTATTCGTGGCCAGGACCCAAGCTGAGATACAGAACATTTTTAGGTAGAAGCATGACATCCCTCCCCACCTCCCCTCCAATCATTGTTCTACATTTATTCCTGTGGTGGTTTGGGAGAACAGGAAGAAAATGAGTTGTTTTATTGGAAAATTTGCAATGCATTCAGTTTTAATGCATGTTAGACTGGCCATCAACAACTGTTGACTTGTTTTATCAGTTCCGAATGTGAACAAAAAAAATTGCATTTGTTTATTTGGAATAGTTTGTTTCAATTTTGAAGTAATTCATATATATTGAAATACCAAGAATTAATCAGATATGATGGTTCCTGCAGTAATCTTGTTGCTTCAAAATTATTGCTTTGGTTAATCTGGCTTTTTGTGCTTTTAACAATCTTCAGAACGAGAAATAGTGTTGGAATTGGAAAGAATGCGAACAAAGCATGGTGTTCTCAAAGGAGACACATCACCATCGCGCCTAGATAAATTTGTAAAGACATTAGAAGAAGAGCGGGATTATTACAAAGGTGAAGTGGAATACCTGCAAGATATGATATCTGCAAAGGGTAGCCCAGTCTGTTCTCCAAGACGTGGACGAAGCCCAGTGCGAGTTTCGCCTGTGAAGGTACTGAGAACATTGATGAATATTTGCTTTAGAAAGTGGTTTTAGTTTTCACTAACTAAATTTACTTAAGTGTAACTTGCACATTTATGTTTACTATTCCTCACTTGCCAATCTTGATATACTTTATTAAACTAGTAAAGTTTTGAAACCTTTGATTTTTGTAAAATAACTTCTCACAAGATTTAATGATCATCTAATATAACCTGTAAAGTATTATCAAGGCTGCTGATCTGTAAATAAGGAAGTCAAATCATATTTTTATTCCACAGTATTCTGACAGTGTTAGCATTGTCAGATTTGAATTGCACGATGAAAATGCCTTGGTAATAGTTACTTATATGCAGTCAATGTTTTTAAGTCCACAATACATGGGAAATGGTCGAGAAGGTGTTTGAGGTTATGTGTAGGCAAGGAGGTATGTGAAGTCCTGAGGGTGAAACAAAAACAATTAATGGTAGCACTATAATCCTGGTTCCGAAAATACTGATTTAGATGTGGTAGGCATGGGACAAATGAATAGAGTCTAGAAATATTAGGGAGCAGTGAGAAGCAACTCTTGTGTGATGAACTGTTGAGGACTGCCCCAACCAGAGCTTGAAGGTATAAATTATTATCCAAGAGCACTGGAAGTGCATTGAGTTACATGGGAAGTGTAACCAAAGAGGAACATTTTGAAGTACAGTTAAAATAGAAGTATGTATGTATTTCAGAAGCCTTTACGAAAAAGTGTAATGAAAAGAATACAAGAAAATTGTAGGAACAAGTGCTGCCCACCTACAGATGGTGCATGCTATATACAAAATGATATATTACCACTGAATCTCCTATGAACTCAGTTTCCTATAGAGGATGCTATTGGTTGCAAACTTTTTTAAGAGAGAACTTCCCCTGCTGCAGAAAAACAATGAGACAGAGTTTTAGTCTGCCAACATTGACCCTAACTGAAATTATAGAGATTCATGGAGTCATGACACACCACCAGCCCAGTTAATTCTTACCAAATATATTTATTAATTTAATTAATTATATTTTTCTTTCAGCCAAACAGTTTAAATGTTGATGCCATCAATACTTAATATAAAGCTAAAGTCGCCATAGTGCCAGAGGTCTATAGCGTTTCTCTTTCATTACAGAGAGGTGACTAGTGGTGAGTTTAACTTGAGGGTCACCATATGTCAGGCAAGGGATCATGTTGAGAATGTGGGACCGTAGGTACAGGAATTGAATTTGTGCTGCTGACCTACTGTGCATAACAAAGCAGCCATCCACCTAAAGGGACTGAATCATCTCTTATAGAGTTATAGAGACAGGAAGAGCCACAGCAGATTGTGTCCTTCTGCCTCTTTGTTTTATTGTATCACAAATATTGAAAGATAAAAGGAAGCCTTGTTGTGTGCTGCAGAAGCTCTAGCTTCAGAACCTAAATGTCTGTTTTTCAAAAGATATTTTTCATAGGATATGGATGTTGTTGGTTAGGCATTTATTGCTCATTGCTAATAGCCCTCAAGAAGTTGGCAAGCCTGCTTCTTGGACAGAGCAGTCCATGTGGTGTAGGTACACTCATGTAGTTTTAGGAAGGAAAAGTGTTTGCTTATAGTGCTCCATAACTCATGACTTGGTAATTACGATGCTATATGTTCACTGTCCATCTGCTTTGTTTAAAAACTTCTTTTACAAACCATGCTGATGGAATATTAGGCTTAATCCATTAAAGATTTATGATGTTACTTCCCACAGACTAGTAGCCTCAGCACTGAGCTGTTACAGGCTATCAGAGAGCGAGACGAGTTACAAGCAGTGTTGGATAATTTTGAGCAACACATGGCAGAAATCCAATCCAATGTCAAGATGGTGACAGCAGAACGAGACAGGTTACTTATGATTTATGAACAGGTATTGATGGAATAAGAATGAATTGTGAATTCTTCATTTGGTGCATTATATAGAAAGGTATCTGTTCAATGGCCATATTCCTTAGAGGATTTGTTATAAGACCATTTTCAAATAGTTTTGAAAAACATCAAACAAGTATCTCTTGTGGTTCTACTTTGTTTCCCACTTTATTTCTCTTACCTGATATAATTTTAAATTAAAATTCTTTTTTTGGATAACCAATTGTTAATTGGTTTTTATTGCTATTTGCTACTTTATTTTTGAGAGAAAGCACTGCTAATGTGCAAACACCTTAGTGTCAGCAGGTCTAGCCTTGTAAAAGGCATTTACTAGACTGTTCCACTTTTAAGGCAAATCAAGTATCTATCTTAAATGTACGCCTTTTTTGAATGTTATTTTTTCATGTTGCGTACCTTTTCTCTTGGCTGCATAGAGAAAGATTCTCCACAAAATGGTCTAAAACACAACAACAGACAGTTTTAAGGCTATGTGGAATTAAAATTAATGTGCATATATGTGCAAAGTAATATAGATTGAAGAAGGTTGTACAGAATATTAACAAATATAAAACAGATTAAAAAAAATAGATTTTGCTGTCTTTATTAAATGTATTTAATTATGTTTTGGTTAGCTCTGTTAAAATAAACAACGTGAATATCTCCAAACTGAATTCTAAATATAATTGATAAAATAAAACATGTGGAACGCATTTGATTTCCCTTTTTGGGACTACAAGAACATTGCAGTCAGAATTTTCGCAGTCAAATCTCTAGAAAACACATCTTAATTTGCGTACGGTCCCATGCTCAGATAATTGATGTGCCTATTGCTGTGTGTTCTCTCACTGTCGACTAGTACAGTATCAGCCACTATGCACCTTAAAATACAGGATGTTCATGCCAAGTTCATTGATGTAATTCTGAGATGTTCCGGTGAGTTGTGCACATGTTGGAAATGTACACAAGTCAAAGGATGGGTTGTCCAAAATCACCTCTTTAAGGACAGGTTTTTTTTAAGGTCATTTTAAGCCGTTCTGTGCAGAAATGTCAAATAGCCAACAAAGGTACAAGTTAAGACTGCTTCAATCCCCAGGGAAGCAAATAAAATTGACCTTTTTGGACCCATTCTTTAGACAAGAACAAGCGTAAGGTAGCATAGAGCAATTCTAGAGTGTAAAGAAAATTGTTTGCCTTCCAAAAGTTACCTGTTGCCAAATTATACAGTGATGATGATTACAATGCATCTTAAAGCTTTTCACTATCAGCTAGCTAAAGTTTAAAATGAGGGAATAGTCAGCAATCTGGTAACTATTCTGCACTTTTGAATTGCACAAGCTTCCCATATTTCACCATAGTTCTATGTAGTTCAGCCATGTCAATCTGATTGCCTTGACCCCAGTCACACTGCCAACAGGTTTCACAGAGTTGGCTGCTGAGAAAATACTCAAAACTAATCAAAGTATTCCAGGTGTGATCTGACTAGTGCCATGTATAGTTTTAGCAACTGCCCCCTATTTTTGTGTTCCATTCCTTTTGAAATAAAGGGCAAGGGTCCGTTGGCATTAAATAAAAATGGAAAGTCTCTGGAATAAGTTTTTTTCCTCATTTCAGATTTCTGGCAGTATTTTGGCTTGAGTCCATCTGCCTTCCCTATTACCTGCTGAAATTGAATGCTAGTTTTATGTGATTCATGCTGTGCTAGAGTACTTGAGAGGAGATTACAAAGATAGGGTTGGCAAAGCTACAGAGGGATTTTAAAACAAGGATATAAATTTTATAGTCAAGATGTTTAACTGTGAGCTGATTAGATCAGCGATCACATAGATAGGGGAGTAGGATTTGGTGCAAGTTCCGACAAAGACAACAGTTTTGGATGCCCTCATGATTATCAATTATAATGCTATCCTGTCTATGAGCATAATTTAAATAATTTTAAAGTAATTTTCCTGCATGTCTTAAATGGGGATTTCTTATAGAATCAAGATGAGTTGAACAAGTTGAAAAAGGAAGTGCTAATATCACCGATCTGCCAAATGCGTGTGGAAGAGGAAAGAGATGAAGCTAAAGCAGATCTGAAAAGAATGGCAGCTGAGAAGGAGACTTTGAGAGAAAGAATGAAGGTATTTTATTATTATTATTAAAACAGAGTGTGTGTCAAACAAACTTTTTTTGTTCTTCTGTGGGATGTGGGCATCGTTGACGAGCAGCATTTGAGGCCCATCCTTAATTGCGCTGAATTGAGTGGCTTCCTTGGGCATTTAAGAGTCAACCACATTGCTATGGATCTGCAGCCTCATGTAGATCAGACTAGGTAAGGATGGCAGATTTCATTCCCTAAAGGACACTTAATGAATATGATGAATTTTAATGACAATCGATAATAGCTTCACGGTCGCTATTACTAGGACTAGCTTTTAATTCCAGATTTATTTGAATTGAAATGCCACCAGCTGCCATAATGGGATTTAACCCAATCATCAGCATTAGCCTGTTCTTCTGGATTTTTATTTTAGCAACAGTGCCACTATGCCATTGTCTCCCTTTCTTATTTAAGACATAGCATTTTAATCACTCAAGTTCTGACACAACATGATCATTGCATTTTTTTAAAGCTGTTTAATGACAAAATGTTTACTGCCACTAGAGGGACCTATCCTCTCATAGCATACAACAGTTTTTTTAATTGCCAACTTTTGATTTCATCTATTGAAATTTGAGTTGGCTGTTTTATTGAATGTATCTCTAACAGTTTTTGTTTTATTTTCAAGTTATCTCTGATATATTTTCTCAAATTTCATAGATGTTTCTGGTTGTGTAACGCTCCTCACTGTATTTTCGGACTTGAGGGACATTATTGACATTTTGGGAGCTGAAACTCTGTTGCACATCAGGAATTAGAAATCCCAACTGGCATTCTTGACTATGCAGTAAAACAAATAAAGTTAAAATTCAACCTAGAGTAATTAACTTCAAGTATCCTGAGATTTAAGGGTGTAGTAGTTCCTAGTGGTTGTGGGTCCTTTAAAAATGTTCTCCTAATTTTGTACTGATTGACATTCTCCCTCTGAAGAATATAACAAATATCTAAAGAATATGAAGTGTCATACAGACAAATGAATTGCAATAAGCCATTCAACCCATTGAACCCACTATGCCATTTGATAAGATTTGATTTGATACCATTGTGGCCTTGGTTCTAATCTCTCTGTCTGCCCCTGAATGTTTTGACTCACTTGCCAGTCAAGAAGCTGTTAACTCAGCCTTAAAAATATTCAATGATCCTGTCTCCAGTCCTCTGGGAAAGAGAATTCCACAGCCCAACAGCCCTCCGACTGAATAAATTGTTCCTTATTTTTGTCTTAAATAGGAGACTGCTTAATTTTAAACTGTGCTCCCTTGTTATTGTGACTTTCAGAAGGGGAGATATCCACTCAGGACCCACCCTGTCAGTTCTCCTCAGAATCCTGCACATTTCAAGAATATTTATATTCTAAATTCCAATTAAGTCGGATATACCCTGTTCGATGTTTCTTCATAGGACAATCACTTCTCCCAGGAATCAGTTGAAGGAACTTCTTCCGAACTGCTTCTACTGCTATTACATCTTTTCCCTCAAGTAAGGAGACCAACCTGCACTGCCCATGGTCTCACCAGTGGCCTAGACAATGAGAGGAAAACATTCTTTTAAACACCGAAACAAAGTTGCTGGAAAAGCTCAGCAGGTCTGGCAGCATCTGTGAAGGTATGCCAGACCTACGGAGCTTTTCCAGCAACTTTATTTTTGTTCCTGATTTACACCATCCGCAGTTCTTTCGGTTTTTATTCTTCTTTTAAATTCCATTCTGTCCGTAATAAATATCAACATTCTCTTTTAAGCATGTGCTGTTCCTGCTGCCTAACTCTTTGTGATTCATATCAATGCAGTTTTGAGACAGAGGCATATAACTGTGGCAAATTAAAGGGAGGGTCACATGCCTTCTCAATTGTACATTCCCTGAATTGCACAGAATTTGATACCAAAAAGATATTGAAAATAGAAATGATTTGAAGTGCATGTGTCTTTTAATGACTGAGATTTCAACAATTAACTTATTCTGAAACAGAATAATTAAAGAATGATTTCCTAGTATCTAATTTGCAATTTCCTTACTAGAGCATCCTTGAAACAGCTGATCTCAACACAAAACGGATGGAACAGACGATATCACAGTTAGAAAATAAAACATGTGACGTAAGTATCTCAAGGCAAACAGTATTAATAAAAGTTTCAAGGATTGCCTGCATACATTTTGTGGTCTGAATACGTCAACATAGAACATATACTCCAAAGGGGTCCTTAGCAAAACATCTGTTGAATGTAAAGTTGTGGCTGGTTGAGAATTACTAAAGCTGATTTCAAATTTACTATGAATATAACAGCCAAGCTGTTAGATGTTCTTTGAAAATCTTGAGATTAAGTTGCAACATTTTATTCATTGCTTTTTAGCGTGTAACCTTTAAAGTGCAAAAACCTTTTGATGATTCACATTAGTTGAGTTCAAATTGATCTCAATTCGGATAAGATCTAAAATCGGAATTTTATAACTCATTAGACGATTGAAAATGAACCTGATGTGGAAGAGGCACAGAGAAATTTTAAGTCGGGAGCAAGGTCCAATCAGACATAGAATGAATGCTGGGAAAGTCCAGTAGGTAGAGGAGACATGGGCAGAATAAGGCACATGGAAGGTTAGAATGTGAAATTATATCTATTTTAATGCAAAGAGCTTGACTGGTAAGGCGAATGAACGTGGTGCATTGACCAGCACTTGGGAGTGTGATATTGTTGCAATCACTGAGACATGGTTGAAGGAAGGACAGGATTCAAATCTCAACATTCCAAGCTTTAAAAGTTTCAGGCACAGTTAGGGAAAGAGACGTGATGTAAAATAGCTGGGGCCATTGCACTATTGATGAAGGAAACCATCGCTGCAGTAATGAGAGAGGACGTCCTAGAAGAGTCTTCAATTGAGGCCATCTGGGTAGAGCTCAGAAATGAAAAAGAGGTGATTGCCTTATTGGGATTATGCCAAAGGCATCCCAACAGTCAGAGGGAGACAGAGGAGCAGATATGTTGTCAAATCACAGAAAATGTAAGAGAAACAGGGTTATAGTTGTAGGGGACTTCAACTTTGCTAACATTAATTGGGATTGCCTTAGTGTGAAAGGATTAGATGGGATGAATTTTTTAAGTGCATCCAGGAGAGCTTTCTGTGCCAGTACATAGATAGTCCAACTAGAGGTGGGATAGTGATAGACCTGATTCTAGGAAATGAAGCTGGTCAAGTGGTTGAAGTTTCAGTGAGTGAGCATTTTGGGGACAGTGACATGAAAGATATGGAAAGGGTTAAGGACAGTGTAGAAGTTAAGTGCCTAAATTGGGGGAGCTCAATTTCACTCTCATTAGACAAACATCATTATTTTCTATTTGAACTCTGTTTCCTAATTGAATATGATAGAAAAGTGATATACCATTTTGTTTTAGATTTTGTTGAATCGTTAAATTTTATTACTGGCATTAAAAAAACACGAGATTGGTTAAACCTTTGCTGTTCAACTGCTTGGGGGTAATCCCAACAGCCTCAAGCCTCTTAGTGTAGCTCTTTTGCAAACCATGTGATGAAACTTTAGTAGAACGAAGGAATTTATCTAGAACAGCTGAACCCCAGGAAGCCAAGCTATTGGCAGCAGGTGCAGATTTTTAAAATTCTTCAACAATCATTTAATTTTGATTTTAGAGTGGTAGGTGATTTTATTTCCCAGTGTGGAGCACTTTTGGTCTCTGTTTGTTGTGTGGCTCTGTGCGCAGATTTCAAAGGGGTTGATTTGTGTGTGGCCTCCACGGGACCTTTGCTTGTGACCATGCATCTTACAGGGAACATTGGTCCCAGACACCAAATGGTGATGTATTTAAACCATTTTATTAATAGTGTGGTCCAAGCATTGAAAGCAACAGATACAATATGGCAACAGTTATTTTCTTATCTAAACTTGAAGTCAGTCTCTGCTCATGCCCTCTGCAAGCTTATTTTGCCTGTTAGACTTGACTCCTGTTTGTTGTCTCATTTCTTTCGCTGCTTACTATCCAACCTCATTTTCTAACCCCATACCAGCTCATGTTGTAAGTGGTTTCCTGTCCTAGTGTACTACCTCTCGTCTTTTCAAAACTGTCATCATTTTCCCTGTTGTCAATTAAAAATCAAACATGACGTCTTCCACCTTGCAAAATGTGGCCCCATCTCCAGGGCCTTTCCTCTTCAAATACCTTCCTCAAACACAGAGGGATCTAAGTGTTCTAATGCATGAGTCACAACGTTAGTATGCAGGTACAGAAAGTAATTAAGAATGGAATACTATCCATTATTATGAGACAAATCGAACAGAAAAGTGAGGATGTTATGTTTCAGTTATATAGGGCATTGGTGAGACAATGTCTCTCATACGGTGTGTAGTTTTGCACTTTTTTAAGGAAAGCTGTAAATGTGTTGGAGGTGGTTACAGGACGTTACTAAATCAATATCTAGAATGAACAGTTTATCTTCTAAGGAAAGGTAGGACAGACTGGGCTTGTTTCCCTTAGAGGTCAAAGAGCTGAAGGTGACGTGATTGAAGTGTCTAAGACCCTCAGTGGGTCTTGACAAGGTGGATTTAGAAAAGATGTGGAGTCAGCGTAGAACTAACAGGCACTGTTTTAAAATTAGGGGTCAGGATGGAGATGAGAATTTTTTTACCAGGTTTGTGCAGCAGCTCTCGACCCCAGAAGACAGTGGAGGTGGGGTCATTGAATATTTTTAAGGCAAAGGTAAATAGATTCCTATTAGACAAGGGAATAAAAGGTTATTGAGGATAGATCGGAATATGGAATTCAAGACAATCTGACCTTTCATGACCTTATAGAAGGACAGAACAGCCTCAAGGGGCCAAATGTTTTATTTCTGCTTTCGGTTTATATCCTCACATGTCTTTCCTCATTTGAATCTGTTAAAGAGCTTGATCCTGCCACAGCACCAAAACTGCCCTGATTAAAGTAACCACAATGCATATTCCCTCAAATTTTCTTTCCTGTTGCTCAGGCCTCCAAGGGATCTGTGTGGCAGTGACTTCCAGAATCGAAAGTCAATGTCATGAACCTCGGGGTGACCATTTGCGTGTACAACCAGGCAGCTTAGATGGAACATTGATAGCATCAATCCTCCAGTCCATGTAAACTTCTACTTATTGGAAATTTTGCTGCCTGTATCCTATCCTACACCATATGCCATTTTTTATTCTCTTTTGTCCTCAATAACCTACAATGGTGCCTTGAGCTCAAAATTTAAGACTCCGGCAGCTTTTAAATCCCTTCATAATCGTGCCCCATTTTATCTTTATAATCTTTTTCAGCGCTACAACTCCCTGATTCCTAAAGCTATTCCTCCGGCCTCTTATCCGCCTGAGCTGCCTTGTGGGTTTTTTCTTTAATTGCAAGAATAATATAATTGCAGATTTCTACTGTGTACTTTCTACTTTTGTTGTTGTACAGCTTGATGATGAATGCTTCAACCTCAAGAAGAAAGTAGCAAAACAAAAGGAAGAAATTGCAGCACTTGAAGAAAAAAACAAGTGTCAATCACAAAAACTCTCGCAGGCCAGTGATGATGTTGCACAGCAAAAGGCAGAGCTGAGTTCAGTTAGGTTGGTTTTTGTTTTGTACTGATCTTCATGTGTTGGTTTGAAAAACTGATGTCTGTATATAACATTTAAAATTGTACGGATGTGGAATGGTATTGTGACAAAGCTCAACAGTTGATGTCCTGTTTAGTGTACTGGTATAGTGGATCAAGCTTAGTATGTTCAACCCTGTGAAATCTTGTGTTAGCCACGCTGATCAAAGGGGCTGCATTATGTTCATGCAGATGTAACAGACAACTGGAGTTTCAGCTTGCCAGTTAATCAATTCCATTGCGCATGGAAATAAATATTAATGTGGGGAGTTTGGGCCTAATAATCCTTCAACCTTAAATGAAGCATACGGATGCCAATGGTACTGTTCATGATGCTACTAATCAATAGTTATAATCACTGTTTATTTTGAAATTTATTTATGGGTTGTGGGTTCCACTGTCAAGGCCAGCATTTGTTACACATCCCCAGTTTTCTTTGAGAAGGTGATGATGAGCCACTGCCTTGAACATCTGTGATGAAGGTGCACCTCCCCCCTCGTGATATTGGAAAAGAAATACAAGAATTTTGATCTAGCGATATTGAACGATTGATGATATAGTTTTAAGTCAGGATATTGTATGATTTTGAGAAGAACTTGGAGGTAATGCTTTTCTGAAATGGCTGCTGTCCTTGATGTTCTAGGTTGTAGATATAACAAGTTTGGGAAGAGCTGACAAATCTGCTTTGGTTTTTTACTACAGTATAAATGGCATACATTGCAGCCACAGTACACTATTTTCTTGAGGTAGTCCAACAAAAAGATTATTTCATTTTGGATACTGTCAGCCTTCTTGACTGCTTTTGGAAAAGCATTCACCCAGGCAAGTGTAGAATATCCATCACATTCCTTGTGCCCTGTAGATGGTTGAAAGGCTCTCAGGAGTCAAGAGCTGAATAACTCACCACAGAATTAACAACCTCTGACCTGCTATTGTTGCCATAGGATGTATGTGCGCTGGTTCAATTAAATTTCTAGTCTGTGGTGATCTTCAAGATATTAACACTGTTACCATTGATTGTCATGCAAAGATGCTTAGTTTTTCTCTTGTTAAAATTTTGTGTTGCCTGGCACTTGTGTGGCATGACTGTAATTTTGCATACCAGTTTAAACCCAAATGTTATCCAGTCTTCTGTATGCATGCACAGTGTGATCATTATTTGAGGATCATTATTTGGGGAGTGTAATTGATACCAAACATTGTGCAATCATCATCAAACATGGTTCTGGACATTATCATGGTGAGAAGGTCATGAATTAAACAGCTCAAGACAGTCGGACCTAACTCAGTTCCCTACAGAAGTCCTGCAGCAGTGCACTGGAGATAAAATGATTGGCCTTCACTAACCACAACCATCTGGCTCATTAAATATTCCTTACTAATTCGCAAACACTTTGATTACTACAATCAGCTATATGCTGAGTTTGTCCTCTGGCCGAATTTAGACGGCCTGGGGTATCCCAAGAACCCATTCCTATTGCCAGTCTTGAAATCATATTGTCTCAAGATTCCCCCTTCACAACTTTAGGTTTGCATGTACTATTTTAGCAGCTGAAATTCAGTTTTTTACCTGCCCACAGTGGAAATTTTCAACTATACCATGTTATCAGCACATTCTTGAAAAATGTTTAATCCCTCCACATGATAATTACTGCAAAGTTTTTCACACTGATGGCCTGCATTTTTTGTCCAAAGCCCGCTGCAAAAGCACCCAATCTGTTGTCTGTATCCTTGGCTGTAACCAGTTCATAGCACCACAAAATGTGAACCAGACTCTAGCTTCATAAGCTACCTTTTTCACACATCATAATATATTTCTGTTCTCCAGAATGGTATTCATTCATCCTCTGGAATGAGGTAGAACAGATGGTATGGCAGATAAGTTTTGGGAAAACCTCAGGTTTATGCTGATTGTTCCTGAAAAATCAACGAGGAAGATGAGATGGACAAAACTGGTGAAAAAACTTTGTCGTATTATCCAACAATTCTGGACAAACAAGAAAGGACTTAATTGGGAAACTAACAATAACTCCATTATGCAAGCAGAACCAGAAAGGAATGTAAAAATGCAAGTGTCAATGTGCCAAAGAAGGTGTTTACTGTTGAATTCCTGAATTGGATACAAAGACCTCTGTGGAAATCTTGTGGAAAGTTAGCATAGCTACTGAAAATCATATAAGTTCTGACCAGATCTTCAAGCCAAGAAAAATGACTGAAAAATGCTGGAATGTCTTTACGAATCAGTTAAAGTGTTAAAATATATGTAGGACTGCCACTGGCATAGACAGTTACAAAAGGATAAACTCTTGTTTCGTAACAACTGTCAAAGACCTAAGGAATAAACTCCTAATTTAGACCATGTCTGTGCTGAAATATTTTAGATCAGACTGAAGTATCCCAGGAGCTGTCCATTGACTTTAACTCTCAGTTGGACATAGACAGGGCACTAACACAAGCCATGTCTATTACCAGTATCATATGACTACAATATAATCAACCAAACATACTTCAAAGCTACACATTCCTTTCCCTCAGAATAACCTTTAACTGGACAAAACAGAAATGTTGAGCCAGATAGAATCACCTGGTGGATCTCAAGGGCCTCCTGTAATTCATGTGGAATATTGTTGTTTGTACAACCTAGTTAAGTCATAAGTGAACTCATGAGAAGGGAAAAATTCTGCTGTCTGCAATGGAACATAGTTATATGTCCTTGCTTTCAGGTATCATTAAAGTTGTTGAGAAAGGAAACACCATGTCAACGATCTCCATAGATGTGAGAGGCACAGGTGGTAAGAGTATGGTTCCAGATTTGTATGCTCTGTTGAGACTGGCTGTATGCAACAGTACTGTAACCAAATTAAAATGACCACACTTCTGGCAAGCATAAAAATGCAACAGGATAGAACTCTGTCACAGAGCTGTTTGAATCTTCATACTGACATGATGGTTGAAGAATACTAAAAAAAAGTTAAGAATCTGTGGATATAGACATAGAAAATAGGAGCCGAAGTAGGCCATCTGGCCCTTCAAGCCTGATGTGCAATTCAGCATGATTGTGGCTGATTATCCAACTCTGCAATCTGTTCCCACTTTTTCCGTCAACACCTTGCTCCCTTTAGCCCTAAGAACTATATCTAACTCTATCTTGAAAATATTCAATGTTTTGGCCTCAACCACTTTCTTTGGCAGACCGCAGGCTCACCACTCTCTGGATGAAGAAATTACTCTTCAGCCGAGTCATAAATGGCCTACCCCACATCCTTAGGCTGTGACCCTAGTTCTGGATTCCCTGATCATTAGGAACATCCTTCCTGAGTTTACCCTGTCTGCCAGTGACACAATTATCAAAGAACTATGTACCTGAACCCCTAGTCTCTCTGTTTGACAACACTCCCCAAGGCTCTACTATTAACTGTATAAGTCCTGTCCTTGACCGTCTTGCCAAAATGCAACACCATGCATTTATCCAAATTAAATTCCATCTGCCACCTCTTGGCCCATTGACCTAATTGATCAAGATCCCATTGTAATCTTAGATAACCTTTTTTGCTGAAAATCTTGAAATTGTGACCCCCTATTTCTTTACATACCAACTAATGGAGACAGAATATCCTTCTTTACCTTGTCAAAATTGTTCATAATTTTGAACACCTCAATAAGATCATCTCTTAATATTCTCTTGTTCAAAGAGAATAAGCCCAATTTCTCTAATCTTTCCTTGTATCTAAAATCCCTCATTCCTGGTATCATTCTAGTAAATCTCCTTTGCACTCGGTCTGTGACTTTAACATCTTTCCTTAAATAGGATGCCTAGAACTGAACACAACACTCCAAATGTGGTCTGACCAATGAGTTGTTGGTATAGCATCATTTCCTTGCTTTGATACTCTGTGCCTCTACTATAAACCCAAGGATCCTATAAGCTTTCTAAACAACTGTTTCAACATGCCTCGCCGCCTTCAGAGAATTATGCACTTGAATCCCGAAGTCCCACTACTCCTGTACTCTCCTCAAAGTTGTACCATTGAGCCTGTATGCAGTATCTCTCATTTCTCTGCATTGAAATTCATCTGCCAGGTATCTGCCCGTTTGGTCAACTTGTCAGTGTCCCTCTGAAGTCACTCAGTATCATCATCACAATTCACTATTCTCCCTAGCTTAGTATCATTTGCAAATTAAAAGATTTCATCCTCAACAGCCATCTCCAAATCATTCATATTAATTAGAAAAAGCAAGGGCTCTAACACCATCTCTGTGGAATACCACTTACAACTTTTTCCAATCTGAAAAATGCTCATCTATACCTATCCTCTCTTTTCTATCCTTTAGCCAACTTCTAATCCATGCTGCCAAGGACTCATCAATCCCAAACATTTCTAATTTGCTAACCAACCTGCTATGTGGCACCGTATCAAATACTTTCTGAGAGTCCAACTATACAACATCCACAGCACTACCCTCATCGATTGCCTGTGTCACCTCATCAAAGAACTCAATTAAATTTGACACACATCCTGCCCTTGACAAAATTATGTTGACTGTTTAGTAATAACTTATTTTTCTCTAAGTGTATATTTATTTTATCCCATCTTACGGCCTTCATCAGTTTTCTCATTATTGATGTCAAACTGACAGGTCTGTAGTTTCATGAGCTGTCCTTTGCCCCCTTATTAAACAACAGCATCACATTTGCAATCCTCCAGTCGCCTAGAACTAATCATTTGTTCAGAGAGGCCTGAAAAATTTCTGTCAATGACTCTGCAATTTGTTTGCTTAGCTCTCTTAGTAATCTAGGATGCATCCCATCCAGGTCTGGCAACTTCTCTACCTGGTGTGCTGACAACCTTTTCAACACCTTTATCTATCACGAATATTGCTCGGTTGCTCAATACCCACATTTTCAACTCGGCCATTGTCACCGTTTTCTATTTTTTATTACAATCAAATTACTCGTTGCATGTCCTGTGG